TCAAGTTTGCATTCATTATTCTATTTTCGATCTTGTTTACTTGGTTAATGTATTCTCTCTCTCTTATTCACAACGATATCCGTTGATACACTAAATAGGAAAAAACTCGAGCAGACGGATCAACTTTCATAATCCATAAGATGAAATAAAGTTCTTCACATTTCGATACGAAATGTCCATTATTCCCACCTGCAAGCTTTTGGATTCTTCGGCAATAAAGAATGTTCTTCACTATACCTTGAATTTATCTTCATTTCAAAAAAATCGAATCGATGGAAGAGAAAGTATCCCAAAAAACAGTGTTCTTTTGTTAGAATAAAAAAATGTGACATCATGTTAAGGTAACTTTAAATTGGGAAACGGAATTTCATACATACCGACACTTGGGTAGTTGTCGAAATAGTAGATTTGAGTTTGTCTTTTTGATACGAGTATGCAAAGGTACGGTTTCTCTTAACCCTTTATCATCAATAAAGCGTCAAGTTTTCCAATTCGAGCCTGATGCTACAAGTATATGGGAAACAGTCTTGCGGCGGAAGTTACATGAAACAATTATATGCTCCCCGATCCATGCAAAGCAGATGGAGAGCTTCTTGAAAAGGCTCATCATCACAAGCAAAATCATATCATGTGTTTCCCACCTACCGCTGTAATAAATAAAGAAATTCTATCTAGAAGATTGCGTACATAAGAAGGAATCGGGTATTATTCTCACACGCTTCTCGTTTCGTTAAACGAGGAAACTACCGGATACCTACGCAACCAAGTAAGTATGTTGGTGTGTTATTTTTATAATTATTCTTCTTATTAGAACTTGTCACACATCAGATAGAATTCGAATCAAGTATGTACCATTATTCGGATAGACATTTGCTATTATTAGTTTGTTGTAAAGTTTGAGCAATGATCTGTGCCAGAATTCTTTACTCTATCTATTTAATAATCGCATGTTTTATTTGATACATAACCTAAACAAAATTAGACTCCATACGGTTTTTCTGTCGTCTTTTGTATTCACGTCAGTTAGATGATGGCCGTATTTTGTTTTATTCTTTTGAGAATCAAATAACCTATTATATAATTTCTTGTACGTCCCAAGGCTTTCGGCGAATCAAGATATACCACCTCCTCGGAAAGGCCAGTTTGAAGTTGAATATCTTACAACATTAACATGGGTACCGATACGTATCAAACAACACGTGATCAGTTGACATTCTGCTGTAATGAACGGCGTCTCGCCATAGAACTTTGCATGCAGTCTCAGCAGTTCACTCTGCCGTAAGGGAGAAGAGATATATGGGAAGGCGTACCATCGACGCCAACAATGTTGGGAAGCTGGAAAACTAATTATACTAGTGGCGTTCAACAGTTATCTAGAAAACCTTGCGTAATAAAGAAGATCGCATGCATGCATCTTTCTTATTTATATCAGCTGTTGTTGATGCGTAATATTTAAGTAATAGTTATAGCAAATAGAAAATGAGAAATCCGAAATAAACTGTTCTATTAATATTCGACATTTTCTGCCGACGCTTTATATCAAGTAACAAGTATATTCTCTCTTTTTTTTTAAATAGACATTAAAATAAACAATCTTTTTTCTCTAAACAATCAATTGCCATATTACAATTATGACCCATACAAGTTCTGTAAATTTATTTCCTCTAAAAATTGGGCAAAAGTATATGGTATTTTGGTTAGCGTAACCTTTCGTAACTTATTATTTACATCGATATCAAATATTGACAATTTTTAAAAGATGCTAACTCTGTTGGCGAAGAGAATCTTCTACAGCACACGTTGCTGCCCGGTGTAGCACGTTAAATGGTAATTATAAATATGTTAAATTTAAAGATTTTAGTGGCATTACCGAGTATAGAGGCCTGCTATATACGTATACGTACGTACCCAGCTAGGAAAATACGGAATGCGGTTTTTCACTAAATATTTGATGTTCCCGAACGAATAACGATATGACGTTTGCAAGCCTATATTTTAACAACATTTTACATATCAATTTAACATTGCTTGTTGCTAACAGCTTCATATAATTTTGTCAAAGTTGATATTTACAATAACCGTATAGAACAATTGAAAATATACTTTAACCTCTCAAAAGCCTTGGTGTTTTACAAGCGACAATTGGGCTACTAACAACTTATATCAAACTTGTAGATGAGAAACTTTTATTTCTAATATCCTCTACTCAGCCTTTTACTTTGTCCATAACACACTATAATCATATTATTATTTTATTTAGACAACCGCTAATACTTTATTAAACAAAATTTTACATGCTGTTTTGCTTTATGTTGCATCTGATAGTTGTGATCGAAAAAATAAGAATACAAAGCTCTTGTTTATTTTAATGTTCTAGAAACTGTTAAATTTTTAAAGAGCAGACTATTTGCATTTGTTTTTTTCTTAAATATATCCTGGCAGAATAATTATACAAAATGATTTCCTGAGATTGAAATTTTAGTGCACAGTCTCTAATATGTTTTGCCAATTGGATGCCAATAGTTGCTAAACAGATATTTTGTAATTTACAATTAGACGCGTCTTGTAATTGCTAAAAATCTAATACTATAGTTCACACTACTCATTTGGGTTTACAAGATTTCGTAAAAAAAATAAAATTTTTTTCTTTTCCAAGTTTTGAAACTTTAATAAATTGCTTGTAATACACGTAGTCTATCAACTTGTCTGCTTAAAATTATTACATAAACACGTATGAACATTGATTATGTTGTATGTCAGATCGGAATAATACAGAACTTAGTAAAATAATATAACGTACTTAAACACTGATAATATTAACTCTGCTGCTATATAAGAACTACCTAATACAATAACAATTGCATTATAAACTGCCCAATGATTAATTTTACACGCTTTGGTAAAACAATAAATATTAAGTTATAATGTTTGATCATCGTGGAGATCATGTAAATAGATATTCCACAAAGAAATTATTCGCTTGAACGTCTCCGATTTTGATGTATTCCACGCCTCTGTTCGTATAAGAATAGCGCACTGAGGAGGTAGTCATATACAAATTTTTATACATGTTGTACCTCAGTTTGGGACCTGTCTCAGTTCTGGACTGAGATGGATTCGGGACTGAGACAACCGAGACGACTGAGTTCTAGACTGAGATGTGGCGGAGAGCGGGCTGCTAAACTTGGTGTATCACAAATGTAATACACAACTCATTCGATGTTATTGCATCTAGAATTTATTTGAAACTATAATAGATGAGTTACAAATTGCGATTAATCTTGCTCTCAGAGATTCGGTTAACAAAAAAATGGTCTGTGACTATATTCGAGATATTCAAATAAGGAAATTAATTCTATTAGACAGACATTATTGGAATACAAGACACCTTAATAATATAGATGTACTGTACCTACGACGTTTAAATTATGGCTTATAACACTAAACACTCATCAATAGATGTATCTCTTGTACAGTTAGGTAAATACCGTAGTATCGGTGTGCACACAACATGTCCAAGACAAGACCGACGTAGAGTGCCAAATTATATTCATACATTATGCTACAATTCCGATCTGAGATTACATATTTACGACTGATAGCCAATAACTTACAGTACGTGTATTAGTATTCTATAATATACATCACAGATAACCTACTTCCTGTTATGCTCAAATAATTACATTTATTGGAAAAGGACAATAACGATGATAAAAGTTAAGTTTAAAAATTACCACAAACTTTAAAAAGCAACGTCGTTGATAGTAACATATTTTTTTTTTCAAAGTAAATTCACTCTATTTATTTAAAGGTACTTCGCGAATAGCAGCTAAGGAAATTTAAACTGTGTTAATAATAAACATTGGTCTTTACTAACGTGTCTTCTCGTGTTTATCTTTTACTTCAATTTTTTATAAACTTAAACGAATCTGCTTTATTCCTAAAATCAATATTACGGAAAAAATGCCGCAGTTTTCACAATCGAGCCTGAAAATTAACTTAGTTTTTTTTTTAGTAAAATTTCTCTGACAGACTACAAACTGTTAACGTAAACAATGTTAAAATTGACAATTCTAAAAAAGTTAGTAATCTTTATTTGATACACTTGTGACTTTGATTCATTTGATAGCTAGTAGTATTTACATTTGTATAAATAACTAAATAACGTTTAACACTGCTGACGTTTTTTAACTGTATATAAACGTATTGTCAAACGGCAATACTTGTGGCCGGCGTACACCAATTTATTAATTTATTCCCACTAAGCATGGTTTACACCGTTATTTGTATGAGAAGCTTGTAATCTGTCGAGGTATAAATATAAACGGTTTATTAGCGTAATTGGCTCGATTACAAAAATACGATGAAGAGAAAACACTTGTTATGATGCCACAACATGCAGTATGTTAATTTATTTGATTATCAACTCTTTATATCTATTTTTAGTTTGTGCGCACATTGTTCTAACTATATTTATATTTCCAGTATATTAATGGTCGTTCCACTAACCGTTTATCAAAACTCTTTCTTTAAAATAAATTTTGTATTTGCCAAAAACGGCTATTATTTATTTTTAAATGTTATTACGGATACTATCAATACACTTATGTTCCTAAATGGAAACGGTTTACAGGTACGAAGCCTAGTAAAATCACCGAGTTTCGCGAACTCTCACAAATGCTTTTTTGTCTATCTAATTATCCAAAAGTCGGTAAATAAACTGGTCTTGACAATTGATAAAAGATTGAACAGGAGCATAAGAATTTGAAAAAGAGACTTGCATCGTCTTACAAATGTTGTCAATACTTGCGTAATAGATAAACTTGGATCCAAACTCCTTTTTGTCAGTGCTATTAACATAGTTGTGCTATTTATGTAATTTTGTTACCGCTCTTAAAGCATCTAATAACGCAAGAGAAAACTTTTCGTTCTATGCATTGTGTAACTACCAATTGACACAGCATAACGTATAACGAGCTTTCATTTCAGTTTGCGACTCGCTATTGTAAATTAATTGTAAAGGGCTTAGCTTTTCTATTCTTCAAAGTTGCTTTCAGAACGACGACTCCATGCATAGGAACTGCTTTTGCTGTGTATCTAATAATACAATTCGTTTTAACTTCGTTTAGTTAAAGCCTTTACTTTGTTAATTGGTTAAATAGAATCTCGTAAATACTCACGATTGACGAAAATATCCCAAGTCTTTCTTTTCCCACAACTCTCTTAATAGTAGCATTGAAGTTGGGGGTGCTTCAGGTAATAAGGGCATAATTAACGCAAAATCGAGAAATATATCACGTGCAATGCTTCCCCTATTGAAGATTACTTTAACGGAGCAAGTCTGTTTAGCAAATGCATGGCGAGTGCATAGAATAAATTCCCACATTAAAAATGGACTAACCCACGACAGCTTGTCCCTCGCCCTTCGCATTTGGCGATAGCTCGCCAGCCCAAATGTCCCACAACTTCCTCCTTTGCCGATACACTAGTTTTGCGGATTTACCAAGAGGGTCTTGGTTTATTGCAATTATTTCGGTGTTGTTTAATATAGACAGAGTCTTGTCATCGATATTCCGAACGTCACAACCAATCAAAAGCGGAGATTTAAGAGCTGCCCAGAGTGCTTCATGGAAAGGTCAGAGCTTTTTATGAGAAAACGACTAGTATTAAGTCAGCAAGCAGGCTCCATATACTTACAGAAGTGCGTTTTATATTCCTCGTGTGTCATACCACCGTTTCCAACTTCAAGCATGTCGAGATCGTTAAATCCGCCGGGAGCGGCATATTTTGCAATGTTTACCATGGAATCTACAATTTGTAGCATACCGCATCGACCACATGTGAGAGAGTTTTGGAAAACAGAATATCTGTCGTGAATATCTCCAGTCGTGCGCCAAGAATTACCAACTTCCGGGCCCCTAATGAATCATATCACGTTTAAGAATAATAGTTACGTTTTAAACATCATATCAAGGAAAAAGTAAATCTTTATAGCAATGACTATACCAAATCCAAGGACCCTCCCGACCCCAATTGCATATCGAGTATAATATTGGACGCCCAGTGGCATTTAGCGCATCTCGCATCTCTAGTAACACAAAATAATTAGTTAATGATCAACTAATTCGATAAAAAGAGGCACTTTCTTACTTGTATATCTGGTTTTTGAAGGGATTCTTTGATTATAGCAGTTATCATATTTCAGATAATCAACTTCCCATTTAGCATAGGTTATTGCATCGATCTCTTCATACGACAATGACCCGGGTCTCCTAGCACAAGTCTTTGTTCCTACGTAGAATTGTGTATCAATATTTCGAATGCCTACTTGGTACTAGCAATAAAGTATCACTTACCAGCACTTGAATATAGTCCAAATAGCATGTCTTTCCCGTGCACATAATCGCTAAGAGCTTTCATACCCGATGGGAAGGCATTCTTGTCAGGTAGAATCTCACCGCTTGGAGCTCTTGTCTTTTGCCAACAATCATCCAGATTGACATAGCGATACCCAACATCTCTGAGTCCGGTTCTAACCAATGCATCAGTCGTCTCTCGAATCAAGTCTTCGTTGATACGACAATGAAATTTATTCCACGAGTTCCATCTGAATTATGTTATACGTTACTAAGAATGCATTGTATATCGCATAATAGTCTCTGGTGTGTAATTCATAATTCATACCCCATCGCCGGTGTTCTTCCGAGGCCATTGTCGAGTGCTTTGACATTGTTCCAAATGCATACAACGAGAATTAAACAAAACAAATACATTTCATTCAGTGTTGCGACTGTTCGTATATATGCGCTTTTGACAAACTGCTAATAATTATCAATCAGCACCAAGATTTTGATATTAATTTAGTATAATGCAGTAATGGTAAATTTAAGGTTGTTTTTCACCGAGTACAGATCCAAAAGTGAACATTTACACCACATATCTTCTCAGGGGCTGCTTTCTAAGCCACAACGGTATGCCTTTGAAATCTCTCCAATCTCGAGAAATTTTACGAGAATAAAACGGTAGAAGATCAAGCCAGTAAGATCCATCACCATTTCTTAAAGTAACGTTCAATATACGGTACATATTAATATAATAATTAATGATCGCGCACGTACTCTTGCACAATGCATTCTGATCGTGTTACACAGATTGCAGAGCCTTCTCAAGGGGGCTTGATGTCCAAGCCCTGTCTGATGTTGCTGTCTGATCGAATCATACTGTACAGAAACCATAAGCTGATATGATTTTTCAAGTACGATAAACATGTCGCTGATTTGTTATATTTCTGCGTTTTTGATGTCAGAATCCATAATCTCGAGGGCTATACGGATACTAAGATCACTTTCTGAGCTCAAAATATTACATAAAACATGTATAGAATTGGATCTCGGGTGTAATTTTGGGTAGCATTTATCTCATCACATATCGCATCTAGCATCGTAAAGAATTCAAAATTTCTATGTCAAGCATGATTTAGAAACGGGGGGAAAAGTCTTGGAAAATAATGGAACTGTGAACTACTCTAAGGGCAGACGAATTGCTCTTAGTGCCAATTAACACGTCTCTGAGTCACTTCCTCCGATTTTGTCGTGGCTATCTTTGATGCTCGATCAGGTGATTTTCCTTATATCAATCACAATATCTATTCAGGTGATATGTTTTGTACCACCTTCCAAACACACGCCTCTGATCAATCAAAAAAAACCAAAACACATTTGCATCAGGCAAACTTAAAAACATGGCTGCCAGGCTTCCGTATGAATGTCTTGAACTCATACTCAACAACATTCCGAAAGATGATATTTCTACTCTTCATTCTGCTCTTCTAGTAAATAGGTCATGGTGTAGTATTGTAGTCAACATTCTCTGGAAATATCCATTTACGGTTTCAGCCGATTTGCCTTCACATTACAAGATCATCTCTGTGCTTTATGAATGCTTGTCTGATGAGGCAAGAGCATCTACTAAACTCGATATACCATCAGAAAAGCAACGTCACACGTTCTCGTACCCTTGTCTTATTAAGGAATTGGATTTTAAGAAGCTGTACGACTTATCGTTGACATGGAGGTGTGATGTCGAAGAGGCTAGGATACGGGCATGGTATCAATTAGATGTAAAAGAAAGGATGAAGTCCAAGGTATTACAAGTTCTTGAATGTGGATTGGGTTATCTTTCAAAGTCTGCGGGCTTTCACGCTGATAATCAAGGTGATGATGATGATGATGATGATGGTGACGACGATGATGCTGCGAGTGTATTTGCCGCCGGTAAGTTGAGTCCAGAAGGATGGTTCAGTGACGAGGACTTTTTGTATAATTACCTAAGGGATGGGCTTGGAGACGATATTATTGAGAATGAAGACGAATATGAATTTGAAGATGGAACCGAACTTTTTTTCGATGATTGCGAAGATCGCCATGACCATGTCAGTGGCCATGAAAATGACCATGACACGGACCATGATCATGTCAATGACCATGGAAATGACCATAACATTGATGACCATGACACTGACCATGACACTGATGACCATGACACTGACAATGACCATAACACTGATGATGACACTGATGACCATGACCATGAAAATTACTGTGACCATGATACTGATGACCATGACCATGCATTTAATGATGCGTTTGATGACGATAATAATGATATTGGTAATGTTGACGATGACGATGACGATGACGATGATGATGACGATGACGTGGACTTTTACCTTGAAGGTGATGACTTTTTTGAGGACGATGATGACGATGATGACGACGATGACGATACTGACGATACTGACGACTATTTCGACGATGACGATGACGATGATATCGATGATTCGTTATACGACTCTGATTTTCCTGAAGATGATGCCGAGAATTACAGGCGGTTGCGCCTGAGAAACAGAACATCCGACAATGATTGGGAATCTGACGATGAGCGTAGCGCAGGAACTTCGACAGAAATGAAGATAGTTCTTTTGACAGTAGAGTTATGCAAATTGATCGTGAGTCACGCTGAGATATCCAATTTAAAGATAACGACGAGGGGATTACCTAGAGTCTGGTCTCTTGATTACGATGGTCATCTAGCAGTTTCTACGTACCCAGGTGCTCAGAAGTGCTTTGCTAAACTGCGGGAGTTTACATGTCACGGCGTATTTCTTAAAGATAAACTTGTCCTCCCTCTTTCTACGATATCTCAAAATATTACCAAGATTGATATAGGAGATCAACATGTCAGCACCATTATCGAGCTGGAAAAATTCATACGTTCACAGCGTAGTCTACAGCATTTCATGTTCCATGGAAATTATTGTGATCTTTCTTCAGTTGTTCAAGCATTAGGCGTCCACAAAAACACTCTCAAGCATCTTGAAATAAATTCGGGATATTTTCGCAGTAGGCATGCCTTCGCTGGTTTATCAGAGTGTCATAATCTTGAAACTCTTCGGCTGAAACAATGCTATCTGCCTGATTACCATCTTAAGCCTCTTGCTGAAGGCGAACTGAGGAACCTTAGATGTATCGAACTAGAAGATATTCCCGATGTATGGAGCGATATTGACGATGACGAGGAGGATTTTGACCCGCCAATCGAGCAGTTTAAGCGCTTGATGAGTAGCATTGGTGCACAATTGGAAGAGGTGCGAATTCCCGTCGACTTGTATTATTATCCTGGACTGGTCCGTGCTACGGCTGCACATTGCAGTAATCTGAGAGTGTTTGCTGCCAATATCAAGACAGATGAGCATGTCGACGAGTTGTTGGAATTGTTAAGGTCATGTGACCGTCTGGAAGAATTGGTGATATCCAGTTTTTTGGTATAGCCCGGTTGTACTACAGACCCAATATGAATATAATTGTGGACGTATTTCCAAAGTCACTTGAGAGATTAGATCTAAGCAAATGGGAGATTCCTTATGAAGTGATGGACGAAATTTTAAAGCGGTTTCCAGATGGACTGCAATATTTAGCGTGGCATAGCTACGATTTTTCACGGAATCCAGATAAAGTAAGGAATAAATACGCCGACATGTTGCAGAGCAAAGGCTTTATTGTCAAAAGTCTAAAAGCAGATTCACAAAGGGAGGGATCCAGATGGGCCCGTCCTATTTACAAAATTGCCGTTGAATTCGAGAAATAATGTCTGCGACCAACGGAGTTAACAGATGACATGGGTAGCGAATTGAGATCAATTCCAGAGATGACGATACTACATTCAATTTAATGGTGACGAAGACGCAATAAAAGCAATGATGAAGAATGAGTCGATTCATATAGAAAAGTCGGCAGAGGACAATTCTTTATTCTGCATTGATCGGATTTCCATTCTTCTTTTCTCTTTTTGAGGAGAGAGAATCAAGTCATTATCACAGAGGCATTAAGTCTCATTATTACTTGTTTATAAACCAAATTCTTCATCGCATGTAATGTACATAATGTAATAAATCATAATAATCTTTATGCTTACACTGTAGAGTCGTTGGGAATTTGGTGACTAGCTCATACTAGGAAGGGTTGGATATTGACCATTATATTTACTTTGTATGTAGAATGGATGAGATGAACGAAAACTGCAAATGAAGCAAGGAAGCATGATCTACCTTTCAGGAGATGATGTTCTAAAGATGCAAACTGTCCGGTTGTTGTTTACGTATGAAGCGAACAAAATTGCTCGTTGACCAGTATATGTGGTTACTCCCCACTACTATATAACAAAAAAGACGGTGGTAGCAAAAAATTATGTTTTCCCACAACTACATAACGTAACTGCTTTATTAATAAAAAATGGTTTTAATATGTAATGCTATTACCGTTGTGCTGTAAAATTAGTTTACATATCCGTTTCATGAACGAAATAATATTTTGTACTGTTCTCCATAGAATGTGACAGGCTTTGAGTAATTTTCGATGGACATCCACTACCCGCATGGTGTTGCATTCTTTGAGCTCGAGAAATTTACTTTCATTTCTTTCATTAAATGAATATTATTTTGGCAAAAGTGTACACTGAGTTTTCAAAATTAGATTAACCAAAAAAATTCGATAGGTCGAACACGCATATAAAATCGCGATAAACCTGTAAGCTTTCAATCGGCTGATAAGTCGGACCACGTGATTTTTGAGACATAATTTTTACCGTTTTAGTAAATACAATACAATTAATTATCCAATAATTTTGCTTCATAGTTTTCGTTATTTTGCTGCAGTACAAGAAGTACCGAAAGAAGAAGAAAGAGATGAGGGAGAAGAAACCATAAGCAATACGGTTGTTTTGGATAGCATCAAAATATATTTGATATAAAAGTGGATCAAATTGGAAGAAAGCGAAATGCATTATTATTAAATAAAAGGGGGGGTTATTTAAAATTTATGAAATTGAGTCGGATAAAATCTCCGCCCCGACGAGTTCGACTTATCGAGAGTGCCTATGTAATTACTTTCTTATAGAAACTGGCAATTAAAAAAATTGTTAATACAACACACTCAGTAGAAAGTTAATAACCATACACGTAAATAATTGTTTTTGGCTTTGTAAATAACCGCGGTTTTTTTTATTTACAAGTCAAAAAAAACCGTTTATTCGCAAACCACTTTTTTTTTTTTTTTTTTTTTTTTTTTTGAGATACGCCATAAGTCACTTTAAAAACGCTGATGTTAACAAGGAATTAAGTTAAAAAAAAAACAACACGTTATCAGTCACAGGTAAATATAAGCCCATTAGTATTAGAAGAATTTGATAGGCTCGGTTTATGATGTATTCACACACACGTACAGTCGTACCCCTCTATAGTCACCCCCTCTATAAGCACACCATGTTGAGAACCAATTACTATTAAATTTATAGAAAAACCCCTTTATATAGTCACAACCTCTTTATAAGCACACTTCCAGCAAAAGTTGCATTGTTCCCGACAGCGTGACTATAGAGGGGTACGACTGTACTTTCCTTTTACCTTTTCGTTTATTGCTTGAGCACTTCATTACCGTACCGCAAGTCTCCTTTACGCGATAAATTTTTTACGAAAGTTATTCCAAAATTTCTGCATGTGCTTGTGTTGTCCTCTTTTTTATCACCCACAGAAAGGCATCAGATGAAATTGTTATGAAATTTATATTAATATCAAAACGTATACTCATTATTTTTTCTCAATTTTATGTCCTTTTATCATACTTCATTTAGCTAATGCTTTATGCTATATTTCATTAATAACAAACGAGCAAATATATCTATTCTGACCGTTCCAGCGATTGCAACAATCTTATAGAGATGTATGCCCTTCTTTCTAGTAAACTTCAAAGTTTACGTTTTAGCTAATTTATGTTTGTTTTCTAAAACGCTCACTGCGTAAACTCTGATTCCAAATTTGGGAGACCAACCTATGTATACAGGCCTTAATTAACCGAAGAGAAGTAAATGCCTTGGGCAAAAAGAGGCGCATATTAGCCAAAGTTGCTATGCAATATAGAAGAATAGATTTCTCTGTTTCTAAGAATGGTAATAAACACAGTCAATTAAAGGCAAAACGCCGACCTATATATTATAATAAGACATCAATGAATGAGCCAGAAACACTTAAATCGTTAAAGCTCAGGATACAAATAAATACTGAATTATACGAACGTATACAGATTAGTGTGAAGTTTAGAGCCAGCCCGCTGCAGAAAAAATAGTTAGACATGTGTCGAAAATGAATGCATTTAAAGGTATAAAGCGAATCAACAGAGCGGACTGCATGAAAGGGAGCAAATATAAACATTTATATGCACCATTCCATAATTTATGATATATTCTTATACACTATACACTTTACAATTTATTTTCTGAGACACTCAAACTTCCCGAGCATTTAAGCATCTTAGAACACTTGTATAAATATTGTTGTCGCAACAAAGCATTCCGTAAATTCAAATGCAGACGAATGTCAGTTATTGCAATACGTGATAATAATAATAACTGATACGGGCGCTTGTCAAGGAAAGCTTCTATTACTGTGATGAGGGTACGAAAAAGATACCATAAATACGAAAAGAGCTTGGGAAGTTTTGGCCTTCTTAGGCCAAAATTGAATCATCAAGAGACCGACTTATCGAGTTTGCATGTGTATTGAGAGAATGCTGATAGACAGTCAACATATAAACTAACATTAGAGTAGTTTACCATGTAACAATAAATATACCATCAATTTTAATATTTAAAATCTCTCGATAAGTCGGTATACTATTCGAAGAACTCGTTTTGCAATGTGCGACCAATAAAGAACACGAAAACTCTATTTGCAGTCACGTGTACAGATGCCTTACAAAATTAATTTTCGACACGTCCTCTGCTAATACTAATACTAAAGCATAAAGAACGGTTAACAAGAGAGCGATTTTCTCGACAGGATCAGTTCTCGGAGTAAATTTCTTATGATGATTCTGATGGGTAAGTTTCATTTGTCGATCTCTCACTTAAATTAGAGCCCGTAAAGCTGAAACATATGCTTTGTCTGGCTTTTCAAAATTCAGTGAGCCTATACGAGACTAAGAGCTATAAAAGATTACCACAGACAGTACCCTAACGAAACAGTCGAGCTGCTAGAGTTGGAGATTATAGTCAAGCCAAGCGGAGCAATGAGGATGGTGATTTAGCCTTTGGCCGGTTCTTGGATCTTCATTCTTTTCATGAGAAATATGCCATTCCTTTGTACCAGTTAAAGGCATATCTGGAAGTCTTCTTTGCTCGAGTAAAACCACTCCAATTTAGATGAAATATGCCGAGTTTACGAGTGATTTATTCTGCGTTGCCTGTACGTATGGTTTTTTGTTCGCCAGCGCCCAGCGTCTGTCTACCAACTGTTATCGCAAGTAATTAATTCGTGCTATGTCTTTGAATATGTTAACACAGATCATATGTAAGCGAACAGTGTACGACGCTCATTTGAAGAGTAAGAAGCATGATGGAACAGGGTGTTGTCGAAGTGGATAATGAAATGCGAGAGAAATTACGGAAACAGACTGAAGACGAGAAAGAGAATGAAAAAAGACAGACTGCATTTACCGAAGCGCTAATACAGAAATATGTCGAGATACTTGGAATACAAGGCGAAGATACTAAAGCCAATGTAGAAAGGAAACGAATAGAGAATGCAGGGTGAGTTAGTACAGTTACGCGCGCGCACCTGAGTGAGAGATGATATACGATTGGCAAAAAGATCATCAATTTCGTCGTATCGGGCTAGCTCTTTTCCCTACTCGTAGATGGGTTTAGAAGCTGAAGAAGTTGACGACGTTGAGAGTGAAAGACAAAATAGTATAACCCTCTTAAGTTACCGCTTGGATGGGATGGGAAGCCGATTCCGTATTGGCTATATAAATTACATGGATAGTTGTAAAGTATCCGTGTGAAATATGTGGGAATTACGTTTACATGGGACGAAAAGCGTTTGATAGATATTTCAGGTGAGCACAAGGTATCGATGCGATCATTGTTTATGTTCAGTGGTAACCACTTGGTTCTATTTTATAATCAGGAGTGGCGAGCTCATGGAATGAGGTGTTTGGGTATCCGAATACTCGCCATTCCACGAAACAGCATTGATAAAAGACGTTATACGCATATAAGTGTTGATCAAAATGAATATTGCTGCTAACACTATTCGTATCAACTACAACTTTAGTATGGGAGAAGCTGAAAATCACAAATAAAATGGACAAATTTAAAACCGATACGATGGAAGAATTTAAAAACGATGAAGGAAACGTATTTAACAAGAAGACTTATGATGAGTTAAAGAGACAAGGATTGATTTAACTAATAATGAAGATGTACATTTAAATGTATATTATAAAATATAGAGATATTAACACTGCTATCGAAGCACTTCAAATATCTATGGGATGGGACGTGCAGTTGAAGAAAAGTTACATTACGAAGGTTGTAGGAATACGTCTGCTAAATTTTCAAGTGAGGAAATAATCTCATGCGGAAAGATGTACCCGTTCGCTATGAATGATTGGTGAATATTGGGTACCTGACCGCAGATTGGTCCACTATAAACGTTCAACTCAAGGTCAATGTATCCCACCTAACCCTCAATTCCAACCTTTGCTTGAACTTGTAATTACAACTCTCTAGATATTCGATGATGTCCAAATTCTATTAAACGTCTTCACTCAGCCACATAACCAAATTGTAAAACCAGATTTATGTAGAATAAAGAAAAACTGTATGCAAACTTGACGTATGAGGAAAATAAGCTCTATGGGACAGCTGCAAGATGCAACACGATTAACAATAACGCTCTCAAGCTTTCCATCTGCTGGTATGAATATGCCAATGAATGAAATAAGTGATATGTATCCGCATTTACATAGTGCCATAAATTCATGCTTGCAGTAATAGACTCCAGAAACTCATTCAACGTCAGGCAGTTATCACGACTTATTAGTTTTTTGAATGATGCTTCACGGTTATTTTTGCAGTCTTACCAAAATGGTGCAATCGTTTTAAACGATAAAATTGTATACTAAAGTCACGTACGTGACAAAGATCTTTGCTCTATATAACAACGTTTATTTCTTTAGATCAATATGAGACTGCTTTACTATGAACTAACCCGTTATTTTGCGGAGATAGTTACACGACATTGCATTTTACAAAACATACATGCTTACTGAGTCCGCCTTGTCTATCGGCAACATGTTTCAAATGACCAAGGATTCATATAAAGAATGGTTTGACAAGAGCATTCAAGAAGGTTACATTCATTGCTGTACAGAAAGTGATATCGAATTAGATCCTCTAAATATTGGCCATGGATCATACGGAGTGGTTTATAAAGCAACGATAAAAGAGGAAAGTCGTTTTGGAAACATCGTCAAGACGATCTTGGGTAAGAAGCAAAACATCTCTGGCGTTACGGTTGCGGTGAAGACGTTGTTTCCTAATAGAAACAGTAATTGTGAAGAAGATTGGCGTCGGCATTTCGTCAAGGAGGTTGCTATTAATTCTAGTCGTTATGTTGTTTTACATTCATGGTATGTATGGACTAATTTTGATGCAAACATTGTATGTTAGCTAAAACATCACAAGCTTGTGAACAATCATCCCAACATTATTCGGTTTGTCGGCCTATATAACGGTACATTGTAAACGGCAATTTCATTGATTTGGCACAAGGATAGTACTCATTCCTTTTTTTTTAACACAATAGATAGATATGACAATTATCATATGATTTTTGAACTAGCCGATGGTGGGACTCTGCGTCAACACTTGGACAAACATTTTAATGATTTAACTTGGAAAGACAAATACAAGTTG